TGCATAGAAAACATGATTTGCAGCTATCGTCGCGCTTCGTCGCCATCGCTTTCAATCGGGCATGCGGACCGCGTTTGCAACTTCGCTGCCGCGCAACATTCGCGCTTTTTATGTTGCCTGGTATGTGACATGCCCTTACGTTACGGTCGCGGTTTTGTTGAAAAAGTTTATATTGTTTGCTTCTTGAACTGGTAGCTTGCGATTTCAGTCTCTCCAGCGTCAAATACCACGCCCGCGAACGGCTCTCTGCTGCACCGCGATAGGCATGCGAGATGTCCGACAGCATTTGGAAATGACTGGTAAAGTGCCAGATTGCTGTAACAGGCGGATTACTCAGCAGATTCTCAAAATAGTGTAAAACGTGTTTTCTGCAGCTGAAGTCGACTGCATCAAAGCCGGGAATGTGTAGTGGTGAGAATTGTGGTCTAATATGAGCAGTTATACAATATTGTTGGTCTAATATGAGCAGTTATAGTAATATAATCAGTCAACAAGAAAACTGCAAGTATATCTACAAGGTTTATTGTTGGTAACAAGGAGCATACCACATTCATAGTAGCTCTGGTTCATGTTCTGTGTTCATTGCAGGCCACTGTCCACAGCTCCTCTAGCCCCTGCTTTTTTGCTGCGATGACATGTAGCATTCGAAGTCGAAAAATTGTATGACCAAATGGTGGATATAGACAGCATTGGTTGTTCTCTTTCCCCCCTCCCCCATGGTAAAACCCCCTAAAACGAACAATTTCGGTATTGTACTGTACTGCCCAAAACAGTTTCCTGTTACAATGCTTGCATTGTTTGTTCCCAGTTCTCTTACCTTCGAGAAAACAGATGCAGCTGTACTACATCTGGGCACTATAACTGACCGCCCCACATCCACTTATTTTAGTACGGAACTATGTCACTTCATTGCAGGTCTAATCCTTTGAATCACTATAAAATATTTCTGGGACAGCACCAGCATGCATTTGTGTATAGCGAATGTACTTGTGGCAGCTTTTGTTTGCAGTGCCACAGCCCTGCATCTTTGCGACTCATAACCTTCTTGAAGTTCGTATTTTGTACATCCCTAGGATGAACACAGGACAAACACTAAAAGGCCCTTTCGTGTTTGTCCTGTGTCCTAGGTTTACAATGTGATGTAAGCTCATGAGCCAAAAACTGGTAACACAAGCAAATTCTGTAGACCTGCACTGTTCAATTAGACCTCGGGCACTTCCTGTGTACTCTGCATTCAACGAACTGCATTTCTGGCGTCTTTGGGGCCAGGGGTGTTCTAAAATTGAATTCTGCTGTGCAAGTCTATTCTGTAACCTTTGCTGTACCCTTATTATGCTGTTATATTGTGTACGACAAGTGTGTATGATGTTTGTGATTGGGAGGGGGAGCGGGGGGGGAGGGGGGGCGGCGCCTCGTGAGGCAATTCTGTTTGCCTTTTGTGTCAGCTCTTGGGCAACGACTGTTTGTATGTTGTTGCCTAAATAAAGATTCAATCTAAGAGGAACTAGCAGATGCGTGCACACAAGCCGGTGTAAGCTGAAGACATGCTAAATCCCGCAATATTAGCCTGGGAGACGAGAAGGGAATGGAACGACGTCTTGAACATGGCTCGGTGTTTAATATTTCTGTGCAACATAACGGAGCCGACTCGTCGTGTTGCTGCAACAGTTCTCGAAGTGGCAGGGCTTCAATCAAGATGACGAGAGTTAGTCCACACAGGCAGGCCGCCTTGTTTTCAGAGAACGCTTCACGTAGGCTTCCGAAGCCGCCTCGTCGTGTTGCTGCAGCCGTTCTCGGAGAGGCAGGGTTGCATACCAGATGTCGGGAGTCAGCCCACACAGACAAGGCCGCCTTGCTTTCAGAGAAGGCTTCACGTAGGCTTCCGAAGCCGCCTCGTCGTGTTGCTGCAGCCGTTCTCGGAGAGGCAGGGTTGCATACCAGATGTCGGGAGTCAGCCCACACAGACAGGCCGCCTTGCTTTCAGAGAAGGCTTCACGTAGGCTTCCGAAGCCGTCTCGTCGTGTTGCTGCAGCCGTTCTCGGAGAGGCAGGGTTGCATACAGATGTCGAGAGTCAGCCCACACAGACAGGCCGCCTTGCTTTCAGAGAAGGCTTCACATAGGCTTCCGAAGCCGCCTCGTCGTGTTGCTGCAGCCGTTCTCGGAGAGGCAGGGTTGCACACCAGATGTCGAGAGTCAGCCCACACAGACAGGCCGCCTTGCTTTCAGAGAAGGCTTCACGTAGGCTTCCGAAGCCGTCTCGTCGTGTTGCTGCAGCCGTTCTCGGAGAGGCAGGGTTGCATACAGATGTCGAGAGTCAGCCCACACAGACAGGCCGCCTTGCTTTCAGAGAAGGCTTCACATAGGCTTCCGAAGCCGCCTCGTCGTGTTGCTGCAGCCGTTCTCGGAGAAGCAGGGTTGCATACCAGATGTCGAGAGTCAGCCCACACAGGCAGGCCGCCTTGCTTTCAGAGAAGGCTTCACGTAGGCTTCCGAAGCCGCCTCGTCGTGTTGCTGCAGCCGCTCTCGGAGAGGCAGGGTTGCATACCGGATGTCGAGAGTCAGCCCACACAGGCAGGCTGCCTTGCTTTCAGAGAAGGCTTCACGTAGGCTTCCGAAGCCGTCTCGTCGTGTTGCTGCAGCCGTTCTCGGAGAGGCAGGGTTGCATACAGATGTCGAGAGTCAGCCCACACAGGCAGGCCGCCTTGTTTTTGGAGAACTCTTCAAGTGGGCCTCCGAAGCCGCCTCGTCGTGTTGCTGCAGCCGTTCTCGGAGAGGCAGGGTTGCATACCAGATGTCGAGAGTCAGCCCACACAGGCAGGCCGCCTTGCTTTCAGAGAAGGCTTCACGTAGGCTTCCGAAGCCGCCTCGTCGTGTTGCTGCAGCCGCTCTCGGAGAAGCAGGGTTGCATACCAGATGTCGAGAGTCAGCCCACACAGGCAGGCAGCCTTGCTTTCAGAGAAGGCTTCACGTAGGCTTCCGAAGCCGCCTCGTCGTGTTGCTGCAGCCGTTCTCGGAGAAGCAGGGTTGCATACCAGATGTCGAGAGTCAGCCCACACAGGCAGGCCGCCTTGCTTTCAGAGAAGGCTTCACGTAGGCTTCCGAAGCCGCCTCGTCGTGTTGCTGCAGCCGCTCTCGGAGAGGCAGGGTTGCATACCAGATGTCGAGAGTCAGCCCACACAGACAGGCCGCCTTGCTTTCAGAGAAGGCTTCACATAGGCTTCCGAAGCAGCCTCGTCGTGTTGCTGCAGCCGTTCTCGGAGAGGCAGGGTTGCATACCAGATGTCAAGAGTCAGCCCACACAGGCAGGCCGCCTTGCTTTCAGAGAAGGTTTCACGTAGGCTTCCGAAGCCGCCTCGTCGTGTTGCTGCAGCCGCTCTCGGAGAGGCAGGGTTGCATACCAGATGTCGAGAGTCAGCCCACACAGGCAGGCCGCCTTGCTTTCAGAGAACGCTTCAAGTGGGCCTCCGAAGCCGCCTCGTCGTGTTGCTGCAGCAGTTCTCGGAGAGGCAGGGTTGCATACCAGATGTCGAGAGTCAGCCCACACAGGCAGGCCGCCTTGCTTTCAGAGAAGGCTTCACGTAGGCTTCCGAAGCCGCCTCGTCGTGTTGCTGCAGCCGCTCTCGGAGAGGCAGGGTTGCATACCAGATGTCGAGAGTCAGCCAACACAGGCAGGCCGCCTTGTTTTCAGAGAACGCTTCAAGTGGGCCTCCGAAGCCGCCTCGTCGTGTTGCTGCAGCCGTTCTCGGAGAGGCAGGGTTGCATACCAGATGTCAAGAGTCAGCCCACACAGGCAGGCCGCCTTGCTTTCAGAGAAGGTTTCACGTAGGCTTCCGAAGCCGCCTCGTCGTGTTGCTGCAGCCGCTCTCGGAGAGGCAGGGTTGCATACCAGATGTCGAGAGTCAGCCCACACAGGCAGGCCGCCTTGCTTTCAGAGAAGGTTTCACGTAGGCTTCCGAAGCCGCCTCGTCGTGTTGCTGCAGCCGTTCTCGGAGAGGCAGGGTTGCATACCAGATGTCGAGAGTCAGCCCACACAGGCAGGCCGCCTTGCTTTCAGAGAAGGCTTCACGTAGGCTTCCGAAGCCGCCTCGTCGTGTTGCTGCAGCCGTTCTCGGAGAGGCAGGGTTGCATACTAGATGTCGAGAGTCAGCCCACACAGGCAGGCCGCCTTGCTTTCAGAGAAGGCTTCACGTAGGCTTCCGAAGCCGCCTCGTCGTGTTGCTGCAGCCGTTCTCGGAGAGGCAGGGTTGCATACCAGATGTCGAGAGTCAGCCCACACAGACAGGCCGCCTTGCTTTCAGAGAAGGCTTCACATAGGCTTCCGAAGCAGCCTCGTCGTGTTGCTGCAGCCGTTCTCGGAGAGGCAGGGTTGCATACCAGATGTCAAGAGTCAGCCCACACAGGCAGGCCGCCTTGTTTTCGGAGAACTCTTCAAGTGGGCCTCCGAAGCCGCCTCGTCGTGTTGCTGCAGCAGTTCTCGGAGAGGCAGGGTTGCATACCAGATGTTGAGAGTCAGCCCACACAGGCAGGCCGCCTTGCTTTCAGAGAACTCTTCAAGTGGGCCTCCGAAGCCGCCTCGTCGTGTTGCTGCAGCCGTTCTCGGAGAGGCAGGGTTGCATACCAGATGTCGAGAGTCAGCCAACACAGGCAGGCCGCCTTGTTTTCGGAGAACTCTTCAAGTGGGCCTCCGAAGCCACCTCGTCGTGTTGCTGCAGCAGTTCTCGGAGAGGCAGGGTTGCATACCAGATGTCGAGTGTCAGCCCATACAGGCAGGCCGCCTTGTTTTCAGAGAACGCTTCAAGTGGGCTTCCGAAGCCGCCTCGTCGTGTTGCTGCAGCCGTTTTCGGAGAGGCAGGGTTGCATACCAGATCTCGGGAGTCAGCCCACACAGGCAGGCCGCCTTATACGCAGAGAAGGCTTCACGTGGGCCTCCAGCAGTTCCCGGAGAGCACAATGGAAGAAATACTTTGCCACACTGCTTACATATTAAGTGGCTCCACACCTGGAATGTGTGGCTGGCCTGATCCAGAGACAACTTCATCGCAGCTTTCATCTTCATAGGAGTCGTCGCTGACATCTCCGGCATTGATTTCGATGATGATTGGTGCAACCTCTCTGTCCGACAGGCTGTCATTCTCCCAGAACTGCTTTTCCATCTTCTTAACATGCTGTATAGCAGCGGTCCAGTTGTCTTTCGTTACATTCTTGATTGCCTGCTCTAGAAGCACCTTCACATCTTTTAGTTTGAAAGACGAGTTGCTTCGTGCAACCTCATTCTTCACTTGCCCCCAGATAAGCTCAATGGGATTCAGCTCACAATGATAAGGGGGCAGCCTAAGAACCGTGCACCCAACAGTTTCAGCACGTGTGTCCACTCGGTAGCTGAGGAACTTGTGTCGCACTTGGGAGACTAAAGAAATTAGTTCCACCTTGAGCATGTCTTTGTCCCAGTCAATTCCCTTTGAGCTTAGCCATTCTTGGATGACACTCTTGGTTGAAGATTTCGTGGGGACACACTCCACGCGTCTTGAGTGGTAGGAAGCGTTATCCATTACAATAACGCTTCCTGGCTCTACCTTGGTCAGGAACAAGTCAAACCAATGTTCAAACCTGTTGCCATCCATCTCGTCGTGGTAATCGCCCGACTTCACTCCATGAAAAATGTCGAGGCAACCTTCCACAAAGCCTTGGTCACCCCCAACGTGAGTGACAATCAGTCTGCTGCCTTTGCCAGATGGATTTTTGAGACCGGTGCTGAGGCCGCGATTTCCTGCGTCTCTGGCAGAACGCACCGTCGTGTCGACCCAGATCTTGTTGACGGTGTGTGCGGCGTTGACCCACGTTTCGTCGAGATAATAGATCGCCTTACCCTCTGCTCGAAACTTCAGGATTGAGCGGAGGTACTTCGCACGCCACACAAGGATGTCGTCCTTCTCAATGAGAAGAGAGTTGCGACTCCTCTTCTGCAGCTCGAACCCAATGTCATGCAAAAGACGGTACACAGTCGATGGACTCGGTTCCACGGCGACCTCATCATCCTTCAGCGCTTCAATGAGGGCTTCGCGTATCTTCGTGACGGTCGGGGTTTCGTTCCTTCGAAAGAAGCCGTGCACGCAGGACCGCAACGCAGACAGCACAAAAGAGTCGTACTGGACCAGGCGACGACGGGTGCCAACCGACTTTGGGCGCTTACCAGTTGGAGTTCGAAGGAGCCCGGAATTCGTGATGGCTTCCTTCTTTATGGCAACAACTGTCCGTGCTCCGACGCCAGTATACTCAGACGTCAGCTGGTATAAGTCGTTCCTCAACCTGTCCGGGTATTGTTCTCGCAGCTTGGCGTACACGGAAAGAACCATCTGCTTGCAATCGCTCGAGAGCTTGCGTCCTTGCCGATGCTTCTTCCACAAATTTATAGGTGTCGTGGCGGCTGGCTTACGTCTCGACGGCGGTGGAGATGGAGCCATGGACACTACCTCAACGATATCCACAAAGGAAATACGCTGAATAATAAAACAGAACGATAAAGTTGTAAAAAATATCTGAACACGCAGAAGAAGAACGCAATCGGGCCGAGCGCGTCGAGCATTCGATTCCCCGACTACAACAACAACATGACGTCACCGAGTTAACCGGACGCGTTCGTAAATTCAACAGAAGTAAAGAAATAGACACTCAGGCTGCAAGTCTTGCGCCGTTTAAGTGGACAGTTTGACGGTACAATTGTTTTATTTGAGAGAAGATGTTAGCCAAGTCGGGAGTGCTGTATTTATTAAGAAAGCAATTCTGTTTGTGAACGACTCACTCTTCCGTGAACAAACGAACGCAGTCAGTAGGGCCTCAGTCACCACGCAGCGACTGCGTGCGATTCGTATTTTAAAAAGAATCACACCAATAAATTTGGACATATGAAAAATTATAGCTCAAAACGTGCTACATAATAAGCCCTATTTAAGATGATTGGATTATCACGATTACGACGCTCGTATAGAACTTTTTCTTTGTAGACACTTTTTTGTTTATATTTGATTCAAAAATGGCGGAGGAGCGCTTCGTGGTGGTGCGACGGTGACTGGCCAATGCGCGGCCTGTAGAGGTGGAGCCTCCGGTGCACAAGTTGGGGTGAAAAAGAGTATAGCAAAGAGCGTCCGCCGACAGAAGCTGCCAAGACTCGCCGCTGCTGCAACAGCCCAAGGATTTTAAAGCTGACACTACCAAGGTGTGTGAGTTCAGACTGCTCATGATCCAGACATAATGTATCGTTCAGGACAACCTCCACCTTTAGCACCAGAGGTGACCTTAGGTTACCTCTGGCGACCCAAGGGAACCTCTGGGGTCGTCAAATCCCCTCCGGAACTCAAATGTCTGAGGACTCCCGCCGCCAGGCGCAAGTATTCTTTTTGGCGGACGAGCATATAGAGCGTAGTAGAATGCGAGCAATGTGGCGATTTGTAGTCCTTTTTTGCGAATAGATCGATCTCTCCAGCCAGTTTCGCTACGTATCCGCTGCCGTGATACATCGAGGAAATCATACAAAAGACATCTGCGGACACTGTCTGAGCGTCCGTAGACATGTTGGACAAACACTCTCTGCAGACATGTTGGAAGTACACACATGTAGCAAGCAAACATGATTCTAACATGGTTGACACGCGCAAGCAGATATTTATATCCCCACGTTTGCAGCGGACACGATGTCTTTTGTATGGCCGGTGCACCAGCAGCGGGACCGCGGCTGTACTCCTTTTACACTTGCGACAACCATGCTGTAGCTATGCGCGAGCCAAGTATGAGACAGCACGAGCAGTCAAGTGCACTAGAGCCGCCGGCCCACTGTGGACTAAAGTTATGACGGCGTAACGCACGCTCCGATACGCTCGGTGAGATAGGTCCATTGGCCTATCCTCAGTAAATCATTCCTGTGGAATAACCTTATCGACCAAGGTCAAGGCACGAGTAAAATGCACTTACAATTAGTGGCTTAGTTAACGTAAATTGATAAAGGTTCCTCGCGCGCACGCCGTGTCCTTCGCATACTTTATTTTTAATCGATGCAGTTTTTTCGGGCATCGTCACAAGCGGCGTACGGAACGTTGATTTCTATCTGCAAAAGCGTTACCGCAAAGTCGTCGTCTTCTTTATATACTTAGTGGGACTTGACTGACCATTGCCCTTCGTGTTTTTGTTGACTTCTTCTCCAACTTTCCAGAATGAAGGCAATCAGGATCCTGTGTTAAGTCGCAATCGTCGTCTCAGCGGGGTCGGCCTCTCACGTGTCAAGCCCTAACGCGGCGCCATGCTGGGACCGTAATCTCGTGGACTTATCGTATCCGTTCAACAACGAGACAATCTACTGGACAGAACGACAAACATTTCGTTTTCAATGCCACCGTCGCCGCGGAAAACGAGGAATGGTAAATCACACCTTTCGGTTTATGCACCAGCACGCGACTCTCACTCCACATCGCTGCGGTGTGAAGTGTTGCGGTGTGAAGTTCACACTTCGAGTAAATTTGGTTTCTCTGCACGCGCGTCGCCTGGTGTGGCCAAGCACTTACTTGTCTGAGCGGGCAGGGCTAATAGGCGTTTTTGAGTACGCATTCTGGGCATCGCAGTTTTACGTGCAGCTGACGTGTGCGGACAACACCACCTGCGATGCAACTGAAGCCCGCGCACTAAAATTTTGACATGATCCCGGTGAGACCGAGCGAAGACGTGAATATTGGACGCGAGTGCTGCGTCAGCATTCGGCAGGGCCTCATGTCCAATCAACGCGTCGAAGGACGCAACGGCATCCGGCTCGGGCCCAATTATTGCCGAGTTGACGCCATCCGACCGTGATGTCGTTGCACGGAGGAAGTGGTGGGTGTCTGTAAAGTCTGCGCATGCGCACACTCTCCCCATACGCCTATTTTGCCGCTGTCGCCATTTTCGCGGGGCACCGTCCCGCGCAACCAATGTTGCTAGCATCTATCGTCGCGCGTATTTAATCTAACTCGACGCTTCTTTCTTTTAGATATCGATAGTATGGGATATAAAAAGCACCGACACAACGGCACGATGCAAATGTGTTTTGACAGGCGGAGGCATGTTGGGCTGCGCTTCAGTTGTAGTTCGCAGACAACTCCGGTTTTTCCTCTCTATGGTTGCGGGGGGGGGGGGGGGGGGGGGGACCTTTCCCTCCCTCTTTTCTTTCCGTGCAGACGACGCCATCATTGAACGTGCGCGCCGCCTCGCTTCGCTTGGGGTAGCGTGCGCTAGCCAGTGGCGTCACTAGGGCCAGCGGCACCCGAAGCGATAACCCGCCGCAACCCCCCCCTCCTCTCCCTCTTCTCTCATGGTCCACCACAACCCCCCCCCCCCCAGAGCTCTGCAGCCGGGGTAGTCCGCCCCCCCCCCCCCCCACCCTGACGCTAGATTTATGAAGATTCGTTTTTTAGTACTACCGTATTTTTTCACACGTGATAAATCTCCCGCTCACGTATCTCTCAGGTATCTTCATTTAATCTAAGAAAGGTTTCAGCAGTAGTTTCGGAAGAATAATTGTATCGCAAGCGGGAATAGCATCGGGTTCAGAGAGAAGTGTTCGTGACGGACCCGCGGTAACATACTTTATTTAGAAGGAATCGCAATTGCTTGCGGGCTAATTTGTGACGTCGACATGTGTGAGAAAAGAAAAAAAAAGCCGCTTACAACTCCCTGTAACGCTGAATTAGAGCGCAGCTCTTGAGGAGGAGGAGGGAAGGGCGCCGGCATCCGCATCGTCATCATCACTGATGACGTCACCGGCATCCACATCGTCATCGTCATCATCACTGATGACGTCACCGCCATCCACATCGTCATCGTCATCATCACTGATAACGTCACCGGCATCCGCATCGTCATCTTCATCATCACTGATGACGTCATCATCACTGATGACGTCACCGGCATCCACATCGTCATCATCACTGATGACGTCACCGGCATCCACATCGTCATCGTCACAGATGACGTCATCATCACTGATGACGTCACCGGCATCCACATCGTCATCGTCATCATCACTGATGACGTCACCGGCATCCACATCGTCATCGTCATCATCACTGATGACGTCACCGGCATCCGCATCGTCATCGTCATCATCACTGATGATGACGTCATCAGTGATGATGACGATGGCGATGTGGATGCCGGTGACGTCATCAGTGTCGATGACGTCATCGGGGGGTCACGCGACATCGGCGGGGGTCAGGTGACCTCGGGGGGTCACGTGACCTCGAGGAGGGGGTCACGTGACCCCGGTGGGGGGCTCGCGCGGTGCATTATGGGACATTTCCCATGATGCACCGCGCGGTTACGCCGACGGCGACGCCGACGCCGCTCAAGCCGGAAACGGGCCCCTAAGAGCTGCGCTCTAAAAAAGAAAAGTTTGCAGATCTCTGTAAATGCGAAATTAGAGTGCAGCTCTTGAACAAGAGGAGAGAAGGGTATGCCCCTCCTTCCCCGAACCCTCTCCTCCCCCCCTCCTCTTCCCTCCTCATTTCCTCCTGTCCTCCTCCTACGTACG